ATTAGGTACATTTTTATTATTTATTGTAATTTTGTATAGGGGCATTTTTGCCTTAGTGCTTCGCATCGCATCGCTTGGGGAAAGGGCCTTCGTTCTAAACGGGTATAACACAACCGCTGTCGGTAAAAACTAGATTCTAAGGATATGAAAGTGTCGATTATCTCCTGTTATTTTTGCCGACTGCTCAATGCAGTACTGGTATAAACGTAGTGTTGCGTTGAAATCACTGACAAAAAATACGTTGATAACTATGACTCAGAATATACCCTATAATTCTTGTGGAGTCAATATTTAAGTGGATATTGATATAAGTAAACGTTTATTAGGCAAATTATACTTTGTCTGCGTAAAATCAACTGGTTGTGGGTGTGGCTTTTTTAGCCGTGCCGGGTGGGACTAAAGGCCTTTCCTGTAAGGAGCCACTGTGTTGTTTGCACGCTGGGCTCGCACGCTTTCGCAAACTACTACTTTACTCATTTCCCTGGTCCGCCTTATAAAACTTATTATTGGTGATCTGATAATGAAAATGAGAATTTTTAAAAGTGTCAGAATCTTATTATGGGCTAGGTGTGGTGTCATAGAAATCTGTTCGATTTGCTTGTGTTGGTTAAGACTTTTTGGGGTTTCGAAAATGAGTACGCCTCACGTCTTATAACGACAATACGAGCAATAGGAATTTTAATTGACTTCAGTTTTAGTCGAATGAATTACGATAGTTTAACGGACGACTTTCTTCGGCAGTATGTCGACGTGACTGATTCTCAGTGTTTCTTGGTAATACTTCGTTACACTAATCGATGTAGTCGGTTTTGAAAAATTAACTCGATTCCATGTGGTAGATATTAAACACAAAGTTATCTCCAGGACGTTTACACTTTGCCTGTTTAACATTCTGGTGTACTGCAGCGCAGACGATTAATTAAGATCGCTGGCCGGTGTCATTCTTTTTTTGTATTATATTTACATACATTAACTTAGTCAAAATCCTCCATGGCTACTGACCTACTAATGAAGAACAATTTAGCAGCCACTCTGCCACAATGCTCACTTTTAGATATCGTCAGATTACTCTGACGCCTTTGATGCAACCCACGGGAAGTTCAGTAAGTCTGCTTTTTTTTCAAAGATTTATGAAAATACTTTCAAAACAGTTGTTTTCACTTCTGATTTGGTGCGAGTGTTAGCAGTTAATAGATAATAGCGCAGCCTACAAATACCTAAATGCATCTGATATAGCACAAAACCGATGAAACGTTAGATAAAGACCTGGTTACGTTGTACGTTATACGAGTATATTTCTTTCGTTTTGCTAGAAATACTTGCAGATGCTTTACTCGCCCATATAGCAAGTTTTGTGTCAAGAACTTTTCACTTCTTTGAATAACCGTGCCGAATATGTACCGGTTGGTATTGTCGGGCGTATTAGCGAAGACGTTTCTATCGAATTTCACGTTTTGCGCCGTGGAAGCTATGTACGCAACAGCTCTTTATAATCTGCGCATCGCGTACCTTCCTTGCCCATTTCATATTAGCCATACCTAGGAAGTCCCGTAAGTTGCAAAAGAGGATGCCTCAGCTGTGTTAAACTCACTGGAGCATGATGTGGCGGAGCGGCTTGCCAGTGTCACATAAAAAAAGTAGTTTGTTTTGTCGAACGGCCTGCGTCTGCACCATCGGCAGCAGCAGCAGCGGCCGGCAAACAGAACAAACAGCAGCTATAACAACAAGCACACGAATAAGACAAACAAATAAACCTGAAAAATTACCCAACAAAGTGCACCCCACGGCGCATGCGGCTAGCATTGGTAGTAAGAAGGGATTGTTATTTGTTGTTGTATCTCGTTTAAGACGACGGACACTTTGTTTTTCCTTCGAATATAGAATGGGACGACGAATTCCAAGGTACGTGCAAGCGCCGGACACGAACGGAACTACAACTGTCGAGAGTCTATGAAAGAGGGAGAGAGAAAAGGCAATGGATCTATCAGTCGGTGGATGCCTGGATGGAAATGCTGGACTTTGTTGTTGGTGATGCTAAAATTGCTCTCCTCTGTCTGCTCTATCCTGCTGGAGCTTGCGAGCGACCGCTGTTATGATGAACGAGCACAATCGATCAAAACTAGTGACTGCTCACGATGTCTGATGATGAGTGATCGTATCTGATGCGTGCTGTGCCATGCTGTCGTGCGTGTCGCTCGTGGATCTGCTTGCCTAGCGTGCCTGCTGCCGCTTGAACTCCGAACCCTGTAGAACTTTTAAAGATAACACACGTGTATAATACTTTCTACCCTATGTAGCGTAATACACACCAGAACACACACGTGAAGGCGGTCCCGTTTATGCTCTGCAGCGAGGTCCCCTTTATACATCCTCCAGAGCGAGTTTCTAGATGATGCTGGAAGGACCGCTGACTGACTGAACGTCCTACTGGACTTGCTTATTTAAATGTGTGCATACTCACTGTTGGTGTTCGGCAGTGTCAAATGCGGCGGCAGCCACGTATGCTGCTTTTTACCTTTGGTCATTTTTGCTGGCTGCCATAAAAATATTCCTGTTCAGAGATCGCTCTTACATAAATGTTGTTACTATTAGAACTGATTGCGTTTGATCTTCGTGCATCGTTGTGCGTCATAAAGTCATTTCGTCGTTGTTGTCGTCGTCATCGTCATCATCTCTATCTCCGCTATTGCTTACTTGTAACCTAATGTATAAGATATAATTGTGTCTGCTTATTTTATTTATCACCTCTGTAACTTCTGTCAACATCAGTGCTGGCCGTTACATTGCAGCGAACTGCCTTTCCCTATAAACAGTTACTCCGCCCACCTTTCAATGATTTTTCTCAGGTATATCATAAACCTCACATATCATATTCGCTGAACTCGAACATGATAGAATTGTCGATGCTTCAACGTTGCTCACTGGTCCCTTTCTTGAAACTATCTCAATCATTTGGAAGAGCAAAAAAATATTTCCTTGATGTTAGTGCACTGAATGAGAGTCGTAGGGTGAAATCTGTGCGTTCAACTTTACCCGAAAAGCGTGTATGTTCATAATAATAGCAGCACCATTTAAAAAAATTAAAGGTACATTTGTTTATCATTCGTAGCCTAAATGAGTAGTAGTAATTTATTTTTTAATGTACTGTTCGTAATCGTGCGCATTTTGTACCGTACGATCCTGTTTACGTATTCTAATTTTGTTATGCAATGTGGTGTTTTACTCCAAATCATCATTCCATATCCCTGAACATGAAATGATTGGGCTTATTTGATCGTATTTTTTCGTTTCTGTATTCGTTGTCTGTTATTCTTTTTACCTGTTATTCTTTTTTGTAGTAGCCTCGTAAACCATTAGAAGAAAACGCTTGATATTGATGAAATATTCACCGTAAAAAATGCCGCGGCTCCCCTGCTATATCACCAAACTCAGCGAAGCTTTTTTTGATTTTTTCAATGTTGGCGCATTAATCCGTTGAGTTTATTTTGTATGGATCTTTGAAATTAGGTTTTTTTCTAAGATCTGAACAAATATCATGTTTTCAAGGTCATTTTTGTAGTTTCAAGTACATTTATGAGCAGTTTATTTGAAAGATTGCGTGATCAAGTTATCATTTATCTTTTATATGGCGGAACCTCTGATATATGGCTGTTTGCCTTTCTCTTATCTCTGTCTATGGCGATGTTTTTTCTATGGTGCGATGCGTGAGTCAGCTTATACGGCTCATCCATTCATTCGTGTAACGGCGACGCAATGAGCACGATTGTCACAGCGGTGTATGAACTTTTTTAGGCATCTGTGCACGACAATGATTTTTTCGTTTTTATAGTGAACGAGAAGGTTAATTTCGTAGCTAATTTCGTAATTAGTTTTCATATTGATACCTACGCTACTAGCCTATTTTTCTAAAAGCTACGTTTTTTACATAGTGTTTACCTAGGTGTAAAATTATGTAATTTTTATAGATATAGAATTTATTTTCTTGAGATTGCTTTATTCATGACATTAGTAACTCGTGGTTGTCTGTTGGTCTGTCCTTTATTAGATGTCATTTTGTGTGAGGCTTTATATGCTTGCCAGCTACTGTAGTGTGAACCTAGTAGACAAGAAAAGCTATTATAGTGACATCTTCTATCTATACCGAAAACACGAATCGTTATTATCAATCTTTGAGAATCTTCGCGGGCTCCGACCAATTGTCTGTTCTACGGGCTTCGTAACTTCGTACCACATAAAAGTAATTTTAAAAAATATGTCATCAATTTATATCATCAAACTCATTATGGCTGACAGTATATTTAAGATCTGATGCGCTTACAAAGAAAACATCTTTATTGGTTGGATTCACACTTTAAAAAGAGGCTAAGTTTTTTCGGTATCGACAAAGTCGTCACTTTTTTGGTATTGGCTTGAAAAAATGTACATATGTGATGCTGCGAAATCTACACGACATCCATTGATTCGGCGCATTAAATAACTAAGTTGAGAAATATATGTAGCTTTAGACGACCCTTCTGTGGTATTGCCTTTCAAGTACATATATTTCGAAGGTTAACGTGGTACCCTTAATAAGAAAATTCTGGTTAATTTTTAACCAAATGGTAAAACGTTGTCGTGGAGAGCTCGTTTCAACAAGATATATATATAGCGCAATGGCAATAATTGTCTCTATTATGGGAATTCACATCACTTATTTAATTAAACTTTTCTTCAGTCAGAACTCTTAAGTTATCGTTCCTTTGATTGATTCTGTATAGCTGACGTCGGATATCATATACTTCAGAAACTATTCTATTTATCTATATATGCCACAAACTAGTTACTTGTGAAACAGACCTTCATCATAGAATGTGAATTCCCCAAATATATTTTAAAACACTCCTCAGTAAGCTGTGATGTCTATGGCATGGATGCCAATTAGTGTGTAAGAAAAGCAAATATCATTTAACTAACAATTCTGCAACTAAATTTCGTTCGCGCATCCTGATATTCCTTCTCCTGTAACTCGCCCTGGAGTAGAAGATGGTAAGACAGAATTTTGTCTATTGAACATTAAAAAATCACTGACTAAGGTGTGCATTTGGTTTGCTTTGAACTTTCTAAAGCAGACGAAAGTTTCAGAATATAATTGTAATAACATTGACAGATGTATACACTGAATTGACAGCCGAACCAAGCATTGATTAGTGATTAAATAAACGTCGATTTAAATCAGTTTAGGAAATTTGTGTAAAACAATCGCTGTTAATGACGCTTTTCAGATTTAGGAACATAATAAATAACAGACGCACATGTATTTACAAGCGCAGCTTTTTAAAATACATCACGTCAATTACATAATAGTCCCTAAGTGTTATCTATCAGAAATGCACAATCATTATTCCCTTGACGGTATAGATGAAAATATTTACATGTTTAAGCTGGCAGTAGCATGTTTGATGGAAAATGTGGCTGGTGACCGGGAAAGCTTTTGTTTTGTTGTTTTTGTTTTTGTTCTCCGTTTCAACTAATCGGCTTGTCATCGTGCAACGATTTCGACTACATACATCAACAAATTTCGATTACGCGTACTGGCCATCAATGCTTGTTGGATGGCTTCAAATCACGTTTGATTTGAATTTATCGTCTCCGATCGTCCCTTCTCAATCACTCGATTCAAATCAATAATATGTGAACGTCACACCGTCCAAAAAATACGGTGATTCGTATCGGCAATTGCCAATATAATGTGTTCAATGCTGTGGCAACGTGCCTTTGAACATTTGAAAATGATGGATTGCGACGATGGATATTGTAATGGCTTCGACGGGCCGGTATGTGTCTGTGTACATCTTTGCGGCTCTTGTTCGGGGCATTTATTCAATGTGAAACCGCAGTTCTTACATATGGCGACGAGGAGAACGAGGAAGGTGGCGCTCCACCATCGCTAGAAGCGATGCATCAAAAGGCCCAGCAAATGGCTGCTCAGCACGCCCAACAGGGACATCATCCAGTAGGACATCATGCCGGAGCACCCCCAGGACATGGGAATGCTCGAGGTGTCGAGGAGTTGGACGAGCTGATTAAGAAGAAGGAGGAAGAGATCCGAAAAGGTAAGGGTATTATTATTTCTAAGTTCCTATTGGGTTGACTCCTGGACTTTTGTCCCGGAAATTGGTCATCGAGTTGATAAACCTTTCGATATTAGCCATTCTTGTTCTCGGTTCTTCTTGGCTTTGAAATGTGACGTCTATAGGTTTAATAGATGCAAAAGGATTCCCAAATATGCCATATTTTTTTGGATAGAGCTTTTTCTTTTTCCCGGTAAGAACAAACTTTTCAGTTCGTGTCACCGTGTAATTTCATTATGCTGGCAGTAGTGATTTCAATGGGGAATATATATTGAATATAGAACCATGGATTGATAGCAGTTGCCCATATAGTCAAAATCAAAGAACATTGAGTGGTTTTGTGGTATGTATCAAATTCCTTTTTCCACTTAGCCATCCGGCTTCTGAACGAAGAGGAAAGACAACAGATCTACCTCAGTCCTGAGTTCCGGACCTTTATGGATCGATCATCACGTATCATGGAGCGGGCCCTTACCGAAGACGTGGATATTTTTACAGACTACGCCGGAGCTGCCGAGGAGACTGAAGCGTACGTAATAATGCGTATTTACGTTTTTTCAAAACTTTGGCATCATCGCCGCAGTCGGTACGGCGTGAAGCAAATTAACACGTAAATTCTCGAGACGCATAAGGCACTTGTAAAATTAAAAAAATATGAAACTATACTCAGTAAATTTCTAACTTCGATTTCACATTATCTTTTTTTTTAGAGAGGATAAATCGCGCATGAAGTTGTCGAAGTCACGAATGTTTTTTGCTGAGCAGTGGTGCCGCAACAAGTTAGTCACAAGCTTTGATTGGAGCTCACAGTTTCCCGAGTTATTTGCGGCTTCTTACACACCTATCGACGATCGGGAAGCCGAGGGACTTGTGATGATTTGGAATATGAAATACAAAAAAGACACTCCTGAGTACATCTTCAGGTGCAAAAATGAACACCAATAAAAATATATTTATATCTTGTATAAGTTAACATATGTAGCTATAATGTAACTACTTTAATGATTAATTGCCGGAGCATATTAATGTACAGCTTTTCTTTAATTTCAGGCTATTCATTACTCGACTAGAATGTTCGGTATTCGATTCGGATTCCATAACAATATTAGACATAATAACAATAATAATTATAGCATTATTCTTTTCACCGCTCATAGGAGCCAATCTGGTGTGATGTCGACATGTTTCGCAAAATTCCACCCGAATCTCGTCATCGGAGGCCTGTACTCAGGTCAGATCGTCGTATGGGATAATCGGTCACACAAGAAGACTCCGGTACAGCGAAGTCCACTTTCGGCTCAAAGTCACACTCATCCCGTCTACTCGATACAGGTATGATCATTGAATACACTTTATCAGAAAGTTGTCAGTCAGATGTACAAGGAGCAACTTCGATAGCTATCTTCGAATATTCCCAACAACACCGATACCTCTAAAAAGATTGTTAACAGTTAATAGTTCAGTTAACAATTCGAAATTATATAGTCAAACATTTTGTGGTTGCATCGGATTGGCTATTCTGTGAGAAACAATAACCTAAAGACGTTCCGTTTACATTAATTACTACTGTTACGCACTGGTTCATACACTACCCACAAGAAATGTTTGTCTACGCCTGGTTTTAAACTTAGTTACACTTCCATAGGTTTAGTAAAAAAAAGCCCATTACCAGTATACCATCACGAAGAGCAGAAAAGATGATTTCAGATGAAAAACCGACTTCAAGGCGGCAACCGTATTCAATGGTAAAGAAAGATCTCTTTGAAAAAAGCGGGGCATCCTTGATATACTGTCGATTTTTGGCCTGTTTTGCAGGTGGTAGGAACACAGAACGCGCATAACCTTGTGTCAATCTCGACTGACGGCAAGTTCTGTTCGTGGTCGTTGGATATGCTCTCACAGCCGCAGGACACTCTTGACCTTAACCACGCCAAACAGTCGAAGCCAGCGGCTGTTACTTGTATGTCTTTTCCTCATGGTGAATTCAATCACTATGTTATCGGGTCAGAGGAGGGAACCGTGTATTCAGCTTGCAGGCAAGTCTAAATGTTTATGTGGAATGAGTGTGAGAACTGATAAGTTAATGTGGAAATAAGATCTATTGAGAGTTCTAGTACTAAATATAAAATATTTGTCTATTTTTGTCTGTTACCCTAGTAGATTTTAAAGTATGATTTTTTTTTGGAAAAAGCTGATTTCTTACACTTATCGAACTAAAATTCGTTTAAGATTTTTACTGGCTAATTGTGCAATGTAGAACTTCACAAGTTGCCTGTACTTAAAACATAGAGCCATTTGTTCGACTTGCTATATTATATAGACAATAGCGATCCACAGTAGCTTCTTGTACTCGACTTTCAGACATGGATCAAAGTTGGGCATTATTGACTCGTTTGATGGCCATCACGGGCCGGTGACGGGTATACAGCATAATAATACCGTTGGACCAGTGGATTTCTCATATTTATTCCTCACATCGTCGTTCGACTGGACCGTGAAACTGTGGAGTCTGAAGGAGTCGAAGCCGATCCATTCGTTTGAAAACAATTCTGACTACATTTACGACGTAGGATGGTCCCCGTACAATCCAGCTGTATTCGCTACCGTTGACGGGACAGGCCGACTTGATTTATGGAACTTGAACAGCGATGCCGAACTTCCTACTGTCAGTGAAGTTATTGAAGCACCGAGCCCGAAAGACGAACCGCCTGCTCTCAACAGGCTTATCTGGTCACAAACAGGACATCAAATCGTTGCTGGAGATGATGACGGGCGCTGTCACGTCTACGAGGTCGGAGATGTGAGTATGCATGATTAAATATGTGATCTAGCTTCAGGGTTTGATAACGTTAATTTAACGGAGTTTTGGCTACCCAATGTGGGTGGTCGAAGCTAAGTATCAAACACTGTATTAGAACTATCGTTGTTACCTACATTACTAAAAAGTAGAATCTTTCGTTGTCGATTTCAGCAACTGGCGATGCCGAAACATGATGAATGGAACAAACTCTTGAGAATGATCCAGGAACTGAAGAGCAACAACCAGGTCGACGAAGATTTGAGTGTCAAGAATCTTGCGTGAGAACTCTTATCCAGTAGTCACGCCACGCAGTAGGTTTTAACATTCGCATGTGTGCAGTCACGCTAGCTAGAAGCTGGTGACACGGATGGTTCGGCAACTTCATAAAAGAATCCTCTATTTTGAGACCGGTTATTACAGGACTTCAGAATAAATTCCAGTGCTCATTAGCATATAATTGATGAGCTGGTGTCCATCAACACATGATCTGTTTCGCTAACCCTGAAAGAGAGCATTTACAAGCCAGCTAATAAAATATCACCCAGTGCCGGAGGGCGATCGAACGGTTACAAGTATATATAGAAATATACTTACGGAATAAATCCTGAGCGTGCATAGTAAAAAAACTTCTTTTTACATAAAAATTAGATACGGTGTGCTGGAGAGAGCCATATCATACTTTTAGGATGATACTATTTGTGTATAACGATTTATGCAGGAAGTGGTACTCCCAAAAAGGCCCCGATCCACATTTTCTCCACAGCTGGTCGGCGCGCTGAGTGACTAAGTGTTAAATCATACAGAAGGTAATAGTTTTATTTTAATATTTTTGGAAGCTTCAAAGAGGAGGAAGGCAGAATACACATGGAAGTATTTTGCTAATCCTGTGGCAATAATGAAAATTAACGAACGTAAGGTAGAGTAACAATTTTAAAAAAATAAAATGTGCTTATGTTCCGATGAATTGTGTCGTGTCTATTGCGTGTTAATTAGCTGCTAATGTACGCCTTTCAACTTTCAATCGAGAAGCGATTTCGTAATTGGTAAGCAGCAGTTCATTTATTATTGTGTGCGGAAATCAATGTCCAGGTATCGTCCTTTAGTTTGTGAATGCAACACGTATTTTAGTGAAAAATGTTCTTATTGTTAATGGCAGAAAACTATCAAACCAAAACAACAGTCGACTGGGTGCAATAGCCGTACATAGTAAAGTTAGGTGACTTTACTATGTACTAGAGGGAAACTAACGTAATTCAGGGACCAAAAATTAATTCAGCTGCAGCTTTCACAAGATATGCTTTAATTACACAAGGTAGGAACCTTAATAGAAGATAGTCCTCGTTCGTAGAAAGATTCAAAGAAGGTTCAGAAAACTCAGTGCACAGATCATTTAATAAGGTGACTGTTTACGTAGTTCTGTTTGGTAGCTTCAAATACGATAACATTGCATTTCATTTTATTCTAATTGCTCCAAACTAATCAGTCATATTGTTTCTCTTATCTTAAATAACTCAAAATTCAAAATTATTATTTATAGGAAGTAAATACTCATATCACATTTTTCTATGAACCAGCGATAGAAATAAGCCGTGATAACTTGACATGAGCCCTCTATGAAAGCTCAATTATATCACAGAGTCTAGCTGATAAAAATCTTAAAGTAGAGGGAAAAACTAAATGACAACATGGATCACAGAAAGCTCTGGTTCTGTTATTAGCTAGTGAATAGTTAAACGACTAATTGGTCAATTTCGCAAACTGGCACAAAAATGTAATACCTTTAAAATTAGTTTTGTTTATTTATTAGTTCTGCATGGAATCGTATGTTATGGGGACATGCCTGAAACTTTACACGTCAAGCCTTAAACTCGTGAGCTGAATAAATTATTACCCCAGCAATCCATAAAGTTTATTTTTCCTATGAAATTTACATGTCTATTCTTAAAAGATTCACCGTGGTATCGAACACCCTAATCCGGTGGTACTACAAGTTGTTACTGTGAGGCATTGCCGGAAAACACTAAATTCTTCCCTCTCCTGTTCTAGAAAGGTCACATTTTGAGCTCCCAGACATAGGCTACTACACTCGACCTGGTTCTATGATCGAACAGCCGGCACTGAAGTGTTGTCCCACAGTCATCTGTTTATCGCACGGCTGACATCTTCACATGTTTGTATTGCTGTTGTGACTATATGTGCTGTGTTATTCAATTAGATCTGTGCTGCCTAAATACTTATATACTTGAAGGATAAAAGAAACTGTAATTTAAGGTACGTATGCAATCATGTTTCATCCATTGACTATTATTTTTGGAAATCAAATCAAATTAGATTTCTGTCATGATGAAGTCAATAATTAAGTAATTCTCAAACGATAAAGAGACACAGTGCTATTCATTTCGATTAATAAAGGTGATTATATTTGCGTAAATTAAAGTAAACCGAATAAGCTAACAATGTGGCGAACTTTGAAGTAGACATAATAAACTATGCTTTTTGTAGAAAAAGTTGTTTGGTTTTTCAGGCATAATTGAGCTGTATTTTCTCACTACAACTTGCGCATCTGTGTGGTGATATGAATTATTAAAAAAATCATCTTCCATTAAACGTATGATATTGAAAATCGTAAACATCGTCAACATGGAGCAGTGAATAAGTTTGCAATATTAAACATTTTTCGTACTTGTAAGTACTATTATAGGAGTGCGATGACGGTATCATCTCATTGACGCGACAGATAGTTATCCAAACAATTCACTATGTTTCGTCTGGCATGTCTTCAACTTTCCCTTCGAGGAGACAAAACCGCATCGCTAGCGCATGCCCGCGCAATGATCGATACGGTAAGAAAGCGTTTTTTATAATACCATTTTTAAATGACTATCATTAGTAGACTACAAAATAGTTGGTTCATTTTTATTTGATTGATCTGGTGTCTCGCGTTTTTATTGCGAATTTAGTATCTCATTGTTTTTTTATCTCATCGTAGGCAGTGAAAGGCGGCGCACAACTGGTATGCCTCTCCGAGTGTTTCGCTTTTCCCTATGGACCACAATATTTCAGGTTAGGTTTCTATACACAGCTATGCACGTTAACTAAACTGAGAAGCAAATTTTCTGCGAATGGTTCGCGAATGCACAAAAACATATCTACGAATGGCTCTATGAAGAAGTACAATCATAAACAATCTAATTATGCAGCAAGTATTTGGAATTTGGTACTTAGCTCATATATTATGAGCGAAATCGCCATATTTCAATGGATCATGTCGATTTTACGAAAACGTCGTCGGCAAAAATTAAGAAAGGGGAAAAGGAAAAGCAAGGCAAGCTTACAGTTGGCTGCAAACAAAGGGCTTCCAATTAGCGATAAAAATTGGATGGAGGCTATTTTCATGCAACAAGCATGCGCAGATAGCGTCCGTTAGAACAAGCTTATTACTTCATCATGACGATATTACAAAACTGATTAGTTTTAGTTGTATAAATGGTCTGTTTTTGTCGGGAGTTTACTATTATTAATCACGTACTGAACCGCATAACTCTGTATGCTTTTCGTTGCATTAATATTTGAATGTGCTTCAAATTCAGTAAAGATTTAGTTGCTATAGTATTCATGGTATACTAATATAATTTAAGAAAATGCTTGGTTTCTTAAACTTGCTATATATGGTGCGCCCATGACTTCCTATAAAACTAAAACAATGTAGTCATACTGAGAGGGAAATCAATTGAGGAAATTTTCAGACAAGTATAAAAGTTTATAAATGTTTTATAGGACAGTGCAACTGAGTCTATAAAACATAACATTTTTTGACAGAAATCGACCCATAATAACAGAGAAAAGACGTGTTATCCATTCAAACTATTTGGCATTTACGCATCCATCTCTTGTATTTAAAAGTTGCATCTTTGGTCTAAGAATCAGCTTTAGCGGCTGTAAGTAATAATGCAAAGGAACCACCTTGATTTACCAAAGAAGAATAGCGTGACTGTTTGTGATACAAAGAAGGGGTAGAAGCTACTTTTCTCTGGAGCGGAGATGTGAATATCTGACGCAGTCGTACATTTAAAGGGTACGGTTTTCACTTTGTGGCGTTGTCTATTGGAAAACCTCGTCAATAAAATCAGTTATAACAAGAAACTTTGCACCGTTTGTGAGCATTTTAAAAATTTTATGGGATCTTTAGAAATTCTTCGTCTTGTGCTGTGCTTATTGTAGAATACTCGACACATTTTATTAGTAATTATCGGTTTATTTTTCTCCCACATAAATTTGTCAGTTCACTTAATTGTAAGTCTCTTTTTTTTTAACTGTAAACCTATTTCCCTTCCGTCCCGCTAAAATTTTGTTTGATTCTTCACGACCTGTCAATTAACTTATTTTAGGCCAAACGCTGAAACGATTCCTGAAGGAGAAACGTGTAAAATGCTCAAGAATGCTGCTGCAGAAAATAAAGTCTTTGTCGTGGGTTAGTATTGTAATATGGAGCTGAATTTCATATATATCCTATTCCCACTACAATTATATTATTGTTGAGAGGCTTCTCTGTAATTTGACTCCGATCTATTACGGTGTATCCGTACTATAGCATACACTACACGTAATATCGTTCCGTAACAGCCTATAACGTTATGCATTTAAGTGTGATTGCTGACCACTGCAGTAGAACCTACACTCGTTGTCCATCCCTTGTTGTCTCCAGGAGGCAGTCTTTCAGAAAAAGACTCAAGTGATCGCTTATACAATACCTGCGTCGTCTTCGACCCAAAGGGAACACTAGTGGCGAAACATCGCAAGGTAATTAGTGGAAAGCTTTTTTATTTTCGTGCATTTGGACTATCGCAGCTAAATATTGAATTATAGCTTTGTGCTGGAAAAGTATGTATACAGCAACGTCCTTTAATACGGGTTCATAGAAGTCCTTAAGGGCATATAGAAGTCGAAGTGATATTCAAAATAACAGATTATAGAGTTAATTCAGGTAGTCACTTTCAAGAAAACTCTGATTCTAAAAAATATCAAATTTCGAAACCTATATTTTTTCGGCTTACTAGGTACACCTTTTCGATATCGACATTCCTGGAAAAATCACGTTTAAAGAAAGCGAATCATTTACCGCCGGCGATACGCTCACAACTTTTGATACCCCTTTCTGCAAGTAAGTATTATCGATTTGCTACCTGTCCTGCGCAGTTCTTTATTGAGTTCTTTTACATACTTTCTTATTTAAAAAAAATTATAAAACACCATTGCCTTTACTCATAACTATATGGATTCGTGCAATGAATCGCTTTAATGTATGAACCTATCTCTCATTGTATTTACATAGCGATCTTAACTTTTTTGTGTTCTGTTCAATAATCATTTAATCAGGGTGGGTCTGGGAATCTGCTATGACATTCGTTTTGCACCTATGGCGCAACTCTATCGAGCCAGAGGCTGTCAATTGCTACTTTACCCTGGCGCCTTTAATATGATCACTGGGCCCCTAAACTGGGAACTGCTGTGTAGAGCACGCGCCGTCGATAACCAGGTAAATGATGGCTATTTTAGGCCTCTGTCAAGTAACTTGCTCGTAAGGTTATCAGTTTTTTCTAAAATGTGTGGGAAAGATCCCCTAAAATTGCTTCTGTGGATTACGCGATGTATAGTCGCTGGAAAAGGGCCTTTAAAGGTAGACTTCTCGTTTTGAAAGAAGTAGATTTTAGTAATGGGGGCAGGAGCAAGAAATATGGGTCAACAGCGATTGTTTTGCAAAATATCTACGCAGCTGAGATGAGCGCATAATACGGACTGGTCGTAACTCAGTGATAATAAATGGTGCTTAAAAGGCGCGTTGTTTTTTGTTGTTATTGACCTGTTGACAAAATTCGCCTATGTATATTTTAATTTCGTTGAACATATTTTATATTTTATTATATGTCGACTTAATTGGATCTTTGAACTGTATCAGCAGTCTAGATGACATCAGTACGCAGCTCACGTCATCATATATGAATGACACGTTGTGAATATATTTGTCAGGTTAGATTGATATTTTGATATCTTACCAATTTTTTAACATTGTGCTATGTAACGATTAGTTATTTGTATAACGTAACGTTCTGTCAATTTCAATTCTTTCAATGCAACTACGTGACAAACAACTATGATGCCTTTAATAATTTCGAAATGTATTTAGCGTGGGTTATTCCGAAAATACTGCCAAGCCATGGGCAAGGTAAAGAATATTATATTTGTCTAGTGTCTACATGTACTTTGCAGTATTAATTGTCAATCGTGGTAAAAAGTTTAACAGGTGATATGATATGGGATTTCTGGAATATAAAAATTTTGTGCGTAAATCACCAGTGATATACTGTTTCGCCAGTTGAAAAAACTGGCTATCGTTATCGCTTTACAACCTTTCGCTTTTGTTTCTCCTTTCTCTGTTTATCTAACTAATATATATATATATATATATATATATATATATATATATAACATTTGATTGAATTATTACTACTGCGTGTCTTTGGCAAACTTCGGCCTTTTCATCTTTCTAGTGCATATTTGATTACGTTCAATATTAAATAATCTAGCTCTTCCTCGAGCGAATAGCCCCATTAAACGTTACTTCGAGAGGCAGTTTTGTTTCGTGAAAGCGGCAACTACTCAATATATTGTGCGTGAGAAGCCAGCCCACCAATACCGTGAAATGATCACAACATTTTGGTTATTTATCTCTGCGTATTTTTTTTTCATAAAACTAACTGTTGACTTTATAATGTTTTCCCCTGCCTGAACCGTAAACCTACTTATAGCCGTTTAACCGTTGTCTGTGTTCTTGTTGGCATGTCTTACTTCTGTGAGAATAATAATCATGTCCATTTTGCTAATGATCCTGTTATGCTGGGCGTGAATTACGTAGTTGTATGTAGCAGGTATTTCACCTGCACGCGACCCTTCAGCTTCTTATGTGGCATTCGGCCACACGATGGTGGTTGGTCCCCGAGGAACTGTTATCGCCCAAACGCAAGAAAAAGAAGATATTGTCTATGCTAATATCGAACTTGACGAGGTACCGCCACAATTACTGTAAAAATGAATATACATAAACGGCTAATCCTAATATAGTTTTTTTTTTTTTTTTTTTTAATAAAAGGATCATATATTCTATAGCGAAAATGAATGCCAATGTTATTTTTACGAATCAATCGAAATGTGTGTGAACATATGTAAGATTACGAGAAATTGGTTGGTGCTTAAATAAACCTTTTTCATACCGCATTTTAAATTATTCATATAACTCAAAGATCCATTTGTTTGGTATGATATACGTGACTAATAAATTGTCAACGCAAAACGATATTCCAGGTAACGACAACTCGTGAAAACATTCCAATTGGTCAACAAGTTCGCACCGACCTCTATAAAATCGTAGACAAGAAGCCTGCCTTATAGTTCTACTTATAGTTCTTATACATCTAAAATTTTTAAATAACTGACGAATAGTCGTACACGATAGACATATATTATTCTGTGATCATCTTATAAACATTAAGTTATCAACCTGACCAAACGAATAATAATTCGCATGTTGTCACCATAAGCTGATACGCATCTTTTCGAGTAACTTTGACAGAATTAGTAAAGGCCATCGCCATCGTATTATTCTACTTTAATATAATTAAAAAAAATCACCTTTGTATAACAAAGGACGAGCTTGTATGAAGTACGAAGAACAACTTTATCCAACGCCATTTTGTTAATAAAGGCACTAACTTGAAATGTAATATAAGTGAGTAAAAGATGCCCTAGTCATTGGTGTAATATATCGTCGAATGGTACATTTAAGACAAAATAAGGATGGTATTTCGGTAACTAACAACACTGGCAGATTTACTTTTCATATAGAAATAACCTCATATATACGAGGCTGGCGTGCGACAACAGTTATCGAAGCCCTACCAGTTTCATCTACAGATGGTCTGAAACTGATAGGACTGCTAAATACTTAGCCATTTCGACGGGTACGCCAGACCAATAGTAATTTTTATATTCTATACTTTTTTATATCTACAACTTCTTATGATAGAACAATGTGACTTTCATAAGTTACAATCGAGGTACAGCAAGCGTATGAAAGTAGTCCCAAAAGGATTAAACTTTCTCATTGGAACATTAGCATTTTATTTAATTACATCTTTTTGATGCATTGGAACAACAATAATCATAGCTCTGTGAATAGTTATAGGTAGTCCTCTTGTTTTTTTTTTAATTTCAGTAGCAGTTTCCACTCATCCCTATGTAGGCATTATCAGTAGGTTCTAATAAAGGGTTCGTATAAAGGAGAACGGACATGAAACCTTCATATGCGTTTTATACCACTCCATTTTTTTCTCTAACTATCATGTATTTTCATGTCTTTATCGTTATTGTGTTGCTCTTGATGTTCATCGTAATCACTTATACCTATCATTTCTGGTTTCGTATACTCAACAGGAAATAGGGTCTCGTCATTTTCTCGTCCCGCCAGCGAAAGCGGCATGTTGTTACCATTCGTCTAACGAGACCTAAACTCCGTCAAGTTAATCCCAATAGCTGTACAACCAACAATAGGCACCAATCGTTATAGCCCGCTTCAGTCACATCCTTTATTAGCCCCTACCCCTTTTTTAAACTCACTTTCCTCCATGTACGAACATCCTCCTGCATCCGTTCGTAAATATTCATTTGTCGTCCGCTGAACGTTTTCATGCATTATTATTCTTTCAGACAGTTTCCGTTCTAAAAACTACCTCCTCTTTCAGCTACCAGACAAAACACAGTTCAGCTCCACTCGCAACGTTTCTTCGACATCGATTTCCCGATAATAAGTTTCAAACCAAACATAGTTTGATCACAAAGCCGCTATCGTTATTTTTATTTTCATTTTGGCTAAAATACGTTTGTCTCCACCATCGAATCTGTGCGCTAGTCAGCCAATTTCGTCGTATTATACCGACGTTTATACGAAGCCTAGTTTTCATCAATCAATTACTGCGTTGAGCGCGTTATCCTTCAAATGGAAGTTACAGTATTTAATACACACTGTTTGCACACATGCATGCACACCATACAGACTCTCGTCATGTGCCGCACTCTGTATCGTCACGCACATTTGATGTATGACGCCGCGGGTTCAGCGACTCGCGTACCATAATTACTATTATAAGAAAAATTATAAATTAATAAATGTAGCTCGACTGCACTTTTGAGTCCGCTTCATGACCACCAGATCTGCCATCGAGTCCTTGTCATCTTCAGCAACGTTTCTTAAAAATGGTTGTTATGGAATTTATGTTGCTTTTGTTGATTATGCTGCGTGACCTACAAAAACAAAGGTCACTCTCTTCGAAGGACTACGAACAATCCAAGTGTAGCGAGTACGGCGTATTTTAGCTTGGGGAAGTCGTTCATACAAATTGTAAGCCATCCAACGTACGGCACGAAACCTCTCGCTCTGCCAACAATATCCTGAAAATTGAACGCATAGTGCAATTTCATTAATGTTCATGGTACGACAAGGAGAAGCCAACAGATATGTTTTCAGCTATCTTTTTCTTGCAGGACTAATGCAGCAAGTGTTTGAAAAATTTTACATAACTGCTCTTCAAACATAGTTATACTCGGCAGTTAAAAATAGAAAAACATTCCAGTAGGGTTAGTAAAAATTGCGAAGTGTTAACTGTCGAAAATGTTAAAACGAACCTTTCGATCGAGCCAAAATTGTCCGGGCGCGTACAAGCCTCGATCATTCACTGAATTGTTGTCGCCTTTTGTTAGTATTTTCATTTTCCCGTCTTCTCTTTGATGTAATTTGATCACGCGATGTACAATAGGGATGTCCCTACCCTCAATCTTGAACACAACGATGTCTCCAATCTGTATTGGATCTGATTCGTAATTTGTTAAAAATAAAAGATCTCCCCGATGGAACGCGGGTTCCATTGAACCTGTAATTGTAATGTCACAATAGGTCAGCGTGCGAAGAAAGTAATCGTTGAAAGATTTTTGTGGCTAGCATCTTTTGCAACTCTCCTTACCTGAAAGAACAACGACGATTGGTGACCCACTTCCCGTAAGAACCATTAAACCTTTCCAGATCATCAACGCAGATGAAACGATCATAGCAAAGTTTAACACCTGATGTTCATAGTGAGAAAAGCAACTTAGTCATATTTAGCTATAAAAATTCGGAGATATTGCGCGCGATACCTATCACGTATCTAGTAAATAATCGATCGTGCAATAAAAACATACGCCAATACTGATCATCAAATTTCTTCGTTAAATCTGTGGAAAAGCGTAGATAGCCATACTGCTACCCATATATCTATAAAGGGCATTTCATGTATGCTTTTCTTTTCTTTTGCTGAGTGCAAACCCTAACGCTATTCCCTCACATCTTTGAAACATAGACAGGTGCTCATCTCTTGACATGAAATAATATTCAAGTGTTCTTTTTCGGAGAGAGGTATATGCTTATGATATCCAAGATCCTTTTCGTATTTATTTACACATACATACTACGCGTGTCTTACAGGTTCCAGTGTGGGTAAATGGATCACAGGTATGGCAGGATCATTTACCTTTATTTTTTAATTTTCGGTTCATAAAAAAAATCGAAACAACGTTCTTCTAATCAATGAAGAATTATTGGGGATGATGAATTTATATTTTTATTCGTCGTAAGCACGTTTTATTTATTGGACTCTCGACAACTAGGTGTGTCAGTTATAAACTCGCTGCACGGTTAGTGCGACAATGTTATAAATAATATGAGAGACAAACAGAAAGAGGTGATAAAGCAGTCGAATATAACTTCGTCATCTAACTACTGAACTGAAAGTAGATCATATTAAATGAGAATATCCTCGTGAATATGATTTTCCAGCAGCCATCTGCTACTATAATGTTAATCTAGAATTTCCGTAAGATTTCTGTGTCAACCATAGAAAACTTCTTGACAGCGTCCAAATGTCGTCAGCATTCTACTTTTCTCCTGACAGAACCACAATGGTACCACTAGCTGTTATCATTCTATCTGTATTTTAGGAATTTATTTTCTAAATATAGCTAGGTTTGCATATGTAGGGCAGGTCTGAATCTCACTTGGAACGATATTTGACGGAAGCTCATCCGTTTGATTTCATCCGAAACACCGAGTAGCCGTAAAACCGAGGACATTTTGATGCTGTCGACGAGATTCAAACGATAGAAGTATTAACACCGTTTTCAATATATCCTACTGAATTCTTCTACGTAATGTTAAACAACCGGCTGTTCCTTCTGCTCGGCTTTGCGAACACGTCAAATGTTCAAGATGGTGCGCTCCATGCCTGACTAGCCAATTCGAACAGATCTCTGGAGTTGCACTCGTCCTCTCTCACCGACTCATTATTTTCCCGGTTGTGAATTAAGTTCGCTTACTGGGGCAAAATACCTTACATTGTCATAACAATTTAACTTTCATTTAGAACTATTTGCCCCGAAATAACTTCATTTACATCGAACCACCACTATTATCGGTCCTTTTTAACGTTGTTGTTTGGGCGTTTTCAGCCTTGGCAGCGACCGCTTGCACACATACTTCTCGCGGTGGTTGTCAAACTGGAGCTGCCTTCTGCATTTGTACGCCCGGGCAGATTTAAATATCACTTCGTTCTTTTGCATTCTCCGTTCAGCTGGCGAGCACGATCATTGTTAGCTGATCTGAAAACTAACTGACTGCTTCTGCGGCTGCTTCCTCAAAGATAAGAAAGTGCGTGTCTGCGTGTGTATGAGAGAAAAGTGTTGCGTAAAAATCTCACAAAGGAATAGTCTCAGTGGTAGCTCTTGTAGGATGTAAGACAGAGGGACGATCGCCGGCTCTAGTCCAAAATCGACAAACCGTGGCACGTTTGTTTACGTCCGACGCGCCCTCTATTCTTGTATTTCTTTTTTTGCTTTGTAGTACCTCTAGTTGCTCTTCGTGCCCTTTATTTAGCAGCTTAACAGTGGCTTCTCTCTAAGAGATATAAGACACTCGTCGGTAGTGCGTACATCATGTTATAGTGGGCGATAAACGCGAAGGCCGACTCGAGAGAAGATCTCCATGCTGAAAGTCAGTTGTCTGGTGTCGATTTGATAGTAGGTGCTTGTACATATGCTGTTCACGGTGCATTTCAGTAACTGAGATTTAGGTGTAAAGCTATAACCGGTAACGACGAAGCGCATTTCCGGTTGAAGGCAATTAGTGGAGGTGTCATAAGTGTTCAACAAACAATGGGCCGAAAAGATACCGTTTATTTTTTAGCACTAATACTGCTGGCTATGTGCAGCCTTCATGAGGGAAAGGCGTCGAGATTCGAGGACCTCCATCATGAGAGAGTTGACAATGGCGCTGTTAACCATCATGAAGGCAGCGAACACGAATTTGATCACCAGGCTATACTAGGTGAGTGAGCTCAGTAACTAATTATCGAATTTAATTTTTCATCGAAATGTTAGTTAGGGTGTGCCCTCGACAGTGCACTTTCAATTGTTGTTCTCGTAGCTGTCACTGCTATTGAAGCCTAGTCTGCAATCAGAGGCAATTCGCTGTCAATGCTGCTGTCGTTTTCGTCTGTTAGATATTCGTCTATCATAATAAGTTGATATATTTGAATAAAGTCCCAGAGACAAAATAAAACTTGTTCAATCACACTTTCAGCATTTTTTATCCTGATATCTTTAGCCATTTTTACGGGTAGTTGTGACTTCGACAACTGAATAGCTGAGACAAGCCCTTTCAAGTCAGTCGCCGTCTTGGACACCAAAGTACGAAATAATCACAGCTTCTATTGCGCGCCAGCGATTCTTTTGTAATCATTCTTTTAAATAACGTCGCGCAAACGCGCGATCACTGCGGACAGTTTAGAATATGATATAGGTAAATAAACCTATCAGCGAAGGGGATTAAAATGTTCTTGGTTCCATGTTGCTTTTGTAGGTTCTATCAAAGTTATCGAATCTTTTTCGTGCTCCAACGGCAGTTTTTCATTTTTGGCTTTTACCTCACGATCAGTATACAAAGAAAAACGTAAGATTGACTTGTGGAAGGTGAGAATACGCACATTTTTGTCAAAAGTACTTGGCCTGTGTGGATTGTATTAGTTTACTCAACTAATCTATCCCCATCAAAACTATAAAATTTACCAAGTTTTACCCTTTTCCTGTATGATTTTGCCAAATTGTCTACCTAACATACGTCAATTTGGTTTTCAATGTTACGAAAAACTCTTGACAATATGTATACAAGCCAACATTTTTTGTGCAATGTCTTGACTAGAATTTAGATGGACCCTCAGTGGGCCATCCACTGCAGCCGCTACATTTGCTTGAAGGCTTCGCTACTTTCATCTCTTGTAGTGCGGCGATAATCTAGGCACTAGGCCATCATCATCACGCCACCTGGTATGTGCATTGAGAAACGATTAAGAAATGAATTTTCATAATTGATCATTGTTGATACTGCATTAGTTACTCTTATGACAAACAACTTATTTGTTTTCTGGATGAGTCTGACCTTTAAATTATTAAATATAGATATAAACCGTTGTCTGTTTAAACAGGTGGGGTGTTTATGGTAGTTGTGGCGAGGGAATGTGCAGAAATGATAATTGGAGTTAATCTTTGCCTGCACATAATGAGGCAGGATTTGACTATGGATATATATTACTTTTAGTAGCTCCATGACACACATAATGCATCAGTGTACAGAAATTGCACCAGTAGTGTCCATATTAGATTATTTGGAGGTAAAGAGTTACTCTCTACGGAGATATGTATAAACCATTTGTGCTAAAGTCAGCAATCACACCGAAATTAGCGGGAATTATCAAGTGTATCAAAAGGCTAAGAACTTGCAACAAGAGAAATTATTATCAGCTTTCCCATAAAAACACAGCATGATTTTTTTATGGGCGTCTCGAAAGAGCCAGCTGAACATTATATAATGCAATGGAAGGATTTATGCTGGCGATATAAAACTGGTAATCCGCAGATAGTAGGGATTATGAAACTTTGCTAAGCACTCTGGGTATGTTCTTGCACTAGTCAACAACCATGAAGCTTACATGTTTAATCTAAATAGTAACCGCGGAAGCTTTATTTTGCTAGGCATCAGAGGTGAATAGATTACCGTGTGGAACACAGGATCTTATGCGAAATAGAGGTGGTTAAAGATCGCGGAATTAGCTGCACTGTTTCTTTTATATTCAGTCAGCAAATTGATTTTATTGTTTGTTGTAATATTCTTGACAAGTGATTAATGAGCCAGCTGACCTAAGACGTCCCATCAGATGCAAATTTAGTGTATGTTTGCAACCTGTGTTGAAAGCATATCTAATTGATGATAAAACGATAATTATCATTTTGATATACATTTTGAATATCCGGGCACTTAGAGCAAAACAAGGCTGGGTTGTACTCTAGTACACGAAGGCTATGACTCCCTAGGCTACGCGAGCATTGACTAGAGATTAAACATCGGCATATGCCGCTTGTCGTACCGCTTACCGCGCTCTCCACTTTTCGTCCGCTTCATTTTCTATTTGTAGATCATCAATATCATTTATGTTTAGGGCGTGCGGTGCGTAAACTCCATTCTCAATTCATTCATTCGTCTCTCTGTAGATCGAACGGCTTACAACAAATTATGCGACATACGCACTGATGTTATGTAACACAAATGTGCATCGATAAAGTGTGCAAACAACCTATTAATCAAGCAATGATAATATAAGTGTTTATATAATGCAAAAGTCGCACTGCCGGAAAAGAGCACCGTACTAAAATTATCTGCTTAATCTGATGAATACGTAATACTGTTGTCGAATACGTTGTTTCACATTTTTTATAAATGGATCATTCAATCATCAAATGTTCAAAAATCAATTACACGTTATCCTTCTTATCCTAATATTATTCATCCTAATAATGATTATTGAGTACCGTGCGAGCATAACCTCAATTAAGCAAACACGTTAATTTTGGTTACTTTTGCAGACGTGGTTGATACCCTTTTTATTTAGATTTTTATATAATTGTCAGTTGTTAGGTTGCATTTGCTTAAGTGAACTACAGTGAAAGCTGGATGTGACCAAAGACATATTGTACATCTTGTAAGTGGTTATGACAAACCTTCGGTAAACATCTTGCAGTATACTAATCAACTGTTTATTGTTATAATACTATCTACCAATAGTTAAGTATGCTTCCATTTGTGTGCACCCGCCTAAGAATGTAAATAGCAGATGATGCCAAAATACATTTTTGCTTCACCGTTTCTCATCATATGATAAAATAACGCTTTGGTGCCAGCGTAACGTTCAATGTTAGGCGTTAATTGCTATATAATATAAGTTTCGACATATAACAGCTCACTACGTTATTTTTGCGACATAAAATTGTCGAAGACAACATATATTTTTGTGTATGTAAATGTTTTTAGCTTTACTCCTTTCCCGCGATTTCAGAGTTTTTAGACGCTCGTTGTGCTGTTTCGTTAGTTGCTTATAAGTGTTACTACTAAAAATGTGCTCCTTTGTCTGCAGTGATTTTGCTTTTTCTGAGCTGTTTTATTGCTTCTCAGTTCCTTGGAAGGCAGTTACCCAGTACTTGTGCGAATGGAAAAGGCACTACAGTGTAAAGTCTCACACAGGTTCGTTCCTGAAAATCGGCTTGCGGCTAAGACTTGCCTGAGTAGACATCCTCCTTACCGTCCGTAGAATGTGCATGTTTTACAGAACCGTTTATAAACAGCTACATGTGGAATAGCGAGGTTTTTAGACCCGACCGTTAGTGCTGCCAGAATCGTCGCTAGTGCTGCATATTCAGTACGAACGTTCAGCTTCATAGTCCATTGTTAGTAATGCTTAGGAGTGATAACGAAAAAAGTGGCTGCACGGCTGGTGACGAGTCATATGTGAGTTTAGTCTCTACAGAGTTCGCTCGTTTGCGTCTATTATCGAACGCGTTTTGTGTTTTTACAGTGGATGCGAAAAAAGCAGTTGGTATTCGTAGTCTTGGACAACAACAGCTATTGCTCTAAGGATCGGCGTGATAAAAATGTTGCACGTCGCTGGTACGCTGGGCTTCGTCGGTGCGCTCTTTCTAGTCGCACTGATCATTACAGGTACAGACTTGATCTATGTAAGCTCTTCGACGTCTCCCACGGCACGTTCAAGCACAACCTCAACTACCCACGAGTGCCTCCAGTCATAAGAATGCTATAGCGGCACCATTAGATAAAGGTCGGTCTAAATAATTAGATTGACTTTGATCGAATGATCGAACTTTGATTGAATACTTTATTAACCACGCAGGTCTAACTGCACTGTGATGCAGTTTGTTGATGTAAAAAAAAAAGGTCTATAGCTCGATTGCTCATCTTGCTGCTATGTCTAGGTAGACTGCTAGTATACGCTTCGCATAAATAATAAAAGCGCCCTCTCAAACCTATAGTAGCTATTTAATGGAACAAGTATTGACCCCGGCAGGGATGTTTTAGTGTATGTAGCCTCTGATGACCAATGTTTTTAAGTAAGACATACAGTTGGGTGCGAGTCAGTTTGAGACATGTCAAAAATTTTGACATGCGTATTAGAACTCGGTATTCTCTTAACGTTATAGTCATCCATTTATTTAGAAGTCAATCGCTCTAGTTCCACGTGGAGCATAATAGACAATTTTGGACTAAAGAATGAGGAGATCTGACATCAGATATAATGAGAACGTCAAAATTGTGGGTCCAATCCTGATGCACATTTTAGTTCTTTAAGTCTACAAATCGAAATGCCAACATATTAATTTGGTATCGGGTGAAGCTATGAGTTTTAGCCGTACATCTTTTCACAAAAAGTCAAGAGCGTTCGTATGTATCATGTAAATAATCTTTGTAACAAATATAACGTAGTTCTTAGGGCCGTTGCGTAAAATTGTTGAGAAATAGCTACGCGAACGCGGCATGGCTAGTTTCTTCTTCAATTAAGCGTATAATAGTACTTGTTCTATATGCCATACACTGCCTTTTTTTGTGAATAAAGCTGTTTTTAATTCTAATCTTAACCATGTCATATTAAAAAATGCCTGCGAGAAGAAGCGTTTGCAGATTTATGTGCTTCCATTACCTCTATACTACGCCAAAAGAATTCTCTCATATCTAGCATCCGTTCGTAGATGGTTAATGAATATTTCATTTTGTCTGGGGCCCACACTTCGTGCTCTCGACAGACTGCCTTCAAATGCTGTGTACAAACGTTGGTTGACAGATAGTTTGCTACCTTGTGGAAAGGTGTACGCCTGCTGTGCATTTGTTTATAAAGCACCAAGGTTTTTTTTGCGTCAATATGAGCATGCTAGAAACCAGAATATGTACCGAGTCGAAAGGTAGAATACTGACATTTTACCATACACTATACCAGTTCTCCTCGTTCATTAGTGTAAAAGTGTTATTTGTACTGCTAATGATAACAATGGTTGCAAGTCTTATATTATGTAAAACGAAAAGTTCTAAGTACTCAATGATACGAGCTTGTTGTAGCAGGCAAATTGGCAAGAAAGTTCGGCGATTCTAATTTCACTCACTGCATTTGAGGGGTCTGCTTACAGTTTATTGCCTTACTCCATTTTATAGTTTTACGGCTGTCGAAACGTGATTTATCGGAAGTGCACACAACAACAGCAGAGACAGTGAGCTGCTATGACAATAACAGCAACAACAAGAACAACACTGCTAACTCCGAAGTGTGTACTGGCGACATCAGTCTGAATGTTAACACAGAAGACCAAGTGCTGGTAGGTATAGGATCGCCAGTACTCTTTCAAACAGCGCCACAGGATAAACGTATCGTTACGGCTAGTTGTTTGATTAACGATATCCAGTTTAACTTATGCGGCGTATTATCTGGTTACGGACAAAACGGGGAAAATATGATTTGTAGAGACAACATATTGAGCCCATTTTGTTCACTGATCGTTCATATTTTCAGTACGAAATATTTTAATTATTTCACGGTCTTATACAGATTTCGGATCCTCAAATGCAAGTACAGTTATCTCTGGATGTGTAGCCAGCAGTACTGTAAGAGAATACCAAATGACCCTAGTCATGACCTAATTGTTTCAGAGATGCCAACCATGTACTGATGATCGAACATTTTGCGTTTAGAAAAACCAACCCGTTTGATGCAGCTAGACAAAAACTAGCTAGGCCCACTTCGATAGGTAAAGGTTAAGACTGTGCATCGACAAAAAGACGGCCTCTTACGGGTATTGCTTAGCCGGTTGTTGTTTGAGTTACGGTTGATTTGTGAATTGTTTAAAATCTAGCTCTTAGTAACTTAGCTTTATATAGATGTCTAATATTTTATTTATATCAAAGACTATTGACTTAAGGATGTATCATAAGGGTTTTTGTTATATGTATACATACATGTGGAGCTATGTTTAGTAATCATGTACAGACCACCGCTAGTTAAATCCTAAGTGTGTCAGGGCGTGTCGAGCGTTTGCCATATGTATGATTTGTTGATTTGTTAACTGCGAAGGTAACATTATATTAAGCTATACACACGGCTTGGAAAGCATGAAAAATTCCCAAGTCTTTTACCAGGGCAAAACATATCGGTGCCATGTCTAGTTTAACAACATAAATACAAGATGCGCCTGTCACTGGAAGAGGTCACAAATCACTATGAAACGCTTGCAGGTATGGATGATGGCAGTCGTATCGGATCTCTCAAGTCCGTTCTGCCGGTTCAGAATGACTGGGGGCACCCTCGCGAGCAGAGTTTAGGTTCAGAGTATATGCTTAAGAGTGTTTTGTAAGATTTACTAGGTTAACAACGTTTTCTTGTACACACCAAATACTATAGCAGCTTTTTATTGCCATATGCTTTCTGCATCACATTGTGGCGCTCAAGCTAGCGACAAGTGTAAAGCCAAAAACTTGTACCTTCAAAGCGCTGTCGTTATTGGAATGTATGGGATAGGATCTACTCTATCATTGTTATTATTTACTCATGTCAGTTTTGCGCTCATAGCATTATCCAGGACGAAAGCTGTGCTCCCTAAAACTCTAAAATACTCTAAAATAAATAAAACTCTAAAGTTTTTAATACAGAACTGCCTTTTTGAATGTTTTTTTCACAAATATAATTACCGAAGCAACGGACCATACTGAGCCGTTATTATTAAATGGCTTAATAAGCTCTGTAATGTTTTAGACATACCTCCTTTGTTCATCAAATCCGTCTAATCATTAGATTCTATTTCGAACGGTGGCCTGTGGCTGTTACAGGTAGCAAGGATGCTGCGGAAGAGTTTGAAGATTTACCCCCTGAGGAAGCGAGACGACGGCTTAGGGGTATAGCAAAACGTATGGATAGTAACCAAGATGGCTATGTTGAAAAGGCAGAACTTTCCAAATGGATTCTCAGTTCCTTCGAGTGAGTGTATCCCTTAGTTATGCGAAACGATTTTTCTATCTACACTATTGTTTATTATATATTTTAGTGCACTAGTAGTTAGATTATGAGCATTCTTGTGATTTATCGTGCGTAGTCTCATCCATAAGCAATACGACAATTTCTTATACATAAAAGTGCTGACGAAATCATGCATACTCCATCACAATAGATTGATAATTCTAATAGTTATAGATTCGTATACTTAATGCACATATGAATGGATATATGGATATTAGTATGCCTGTGTGTTTCTTATGACTTTTTGTTCTCTGACATATTTTCTCTGAGCCCATATTTGCTAAATTTGCCACTTTAGGCATTTTTGCTACTCGTAACTTGACTATCTACTTTAGACTGAGATCTCTCTAGGTGCCACAGGTAACAGTAAAAAAAAAGGAATATTAGTGTCCTAAATGCGTTTGTTCGAAAAATTCTAAAATTTTGGAAGTTTAAGTTCAGATATTTTATGATTATTCGAAAAGAATGGTAGGTAGATTAGTTAAACGTGGTAGTACCTATTTTGAGTCTATTAAACTGGTATGGTAATAAGTCTTCATCGAAAACATAGCTTTCTTGGCGATGGCTATATGCGTGAGCCATAGAAACTGAGGGGTGATAATTTATTAATTTAGGAAACATTTTTTTGTTGTTCCGACACATCTTACAGTATGTAGATGTCCTTGACATTGATGTTTCGTGAACGAGTCTGGTGTAAGTGGATACACCGAATTTTTAAATTACATTGAACACTATTGATTATATCTACATTTCCTGAATATAGCCAAGAAAAATATGTTGGGCCTACTTTATGTAAGCTCTAAAAATTATTACCGGTATCTGCGACATCAGTCCGGCAACGTTGATACGAAGTCATGAATTTGGCAGATTTTCCTTGTGAGACAATTTTAGGAATTAAGTGCAAAGATTATTTGGCCCTCCATACCGATGTGGTTCCTTGAGCTTATCGAAATTATTTCTGTGAGGAAAAAATGTTTCCTAGTCAAAATTATTTACTCGTGCTTTTACTACGGCAGCATGTTGACACGCGAGGAATCGCTTGAACGTTTCGAAGATGAAGATCGAAATAAAGATGGCAAGGTCTCCTGGGAGGAACATTTTGCTGAAAATTTCGGTGAAGGCAGTATTCTCCATGAGCATCATGAGGTAGGTCCTACGCGCATTAGGAAGGAGGGTGTCCCATTTTGTTTTTGTTGGGTTTGCTATGAATGGACACAGAAATTATTTGGGAATTAATTGGCATATTTAAGCATAAAAGAAATTGGCATATTTGTTAGTCGAAAATGGAAATAATGTATTAGAAAATTGTGAAAATTAACCAAATAAACAGATATTATGAGAGGAGTAGTAACCTTTAGTATATCTCCATCGATATGGTATTCCATTTCAGGAGGACGTACCGCGAATGCTCGAAGAGGACCGGGAATTGTTTGCTTTAGCTGACGACGATCGTGACGGACTTTTAAGTAAAGAAGAGTTTCCTGCATTTTCACATCCACATGAGTTCTCGAAAATGCATATGCTACTCGTAAATCACACAATGCGAAGAAAAGATACCAACAAAGATGGTAAATAAAACATTAATTACAAACGTGCTCCTGTGGTATTAATAAACTGCAACTATACACTTTACACTGTTCAGATAGATAATTATTGTAGCTCTAGAAAAAAGACGTAGATAGAAATAGATGACTTTTTACAGAATAAAAATTTCATGACGGTCAATGTGATAAGTATTAATTAATGCAAAATATCATATTAGACCGATATACAGTTCATTGAATAATTCGCTGACGCAATATATCATTTTGGGGAGGGGAGGGGGTTGCGTTATAAATCAAATTTTATGCTTATAAAATTTGAGGTTTTCCGTGCTTCCAAATGTCTTCGTTTAATTTTTCTGATGTCTTTTCATTCTTCGCTGTTTAGGAAAACTAACCCTGGAGGAATACCTTAAAGAGGATAGTGGGCGGGAGATGTCTGAAGAGGTTCGGGTAACAGAAAAAGATCGATTTGAGCTCGATCTCGACCGAAACCGAGATGGAAACCTCGATCTTTCTGAAGTGAAGCACTGGATTATTCCTGATAACAAGTAAGACGTTTGAATATTTAGTCTGCACCAGCTGTAACCAATGGGATACTCGAGTCATTTAAGTCATTTTAGTGAAAAAAACGAGTGTTCGGCTCGTTTTGAAAAAGACTTGTATCATTTCTCTCAAAATTACCTGCACAGACAACGCCTATTCCAATTGTCTCGTTTTCTCCCGTGGTAATTACAGTGACATTGCTGATCAAGAAGTGGAGCATTTAATGGAGAATAGTGACAGTGACAAGGATGGCAGGCTCTCGATCCAAGAAATTATCGATCACCACGAGATCTTCGTCGGCTCAGAAGCAACTGATTATGGAGAGCATTTGCACAAGTTCAAGGATGAGCTGTAGACACTTGAAATGCTCCTGATAATTTGCCCGATTACTCTTCTTATCGCCTTAAATGCAGCAACAGCAGCAAAACTAATAATGAAACTGCTGGAGAGGATCTGTAAAATTAAAATAGCAGGCGAAGACCAGGCAAGGTTCTGCCGGCTAAAGACGAAAAGTGCACTTTACTGTCCTAATAACCTTGACAACAAAGATAACACGGATTGCCAGTTTTAATATGATAGCAGCGGACACTTGCGGACCAAGAATTGAACGAGTGGTTTTTCGTTTATTTATAAGCGAGTCCCATATCACCGTAAAGCATTATTTTTCGATGCTTTTAGTCACCAGCACTACTTTGGACAAAAAGGAACGTGAATGCATGATTTTACTGGGGATTGTACATAGGCTTCTTTATATTAACGAATATTTGCCCTGATTGTGATGCGTGTTAATGACCGTTATTTGATATGATCAAATTTAAGCCAAAGGTTGTAGCTTGTCCCATAACAACGCGTGTACGTGTTCCTCGTACCAGGGCAGACATTTGCTCGAAATTGTGAGCTCTTTACGATAGTTTTCTTTTTATAAGACACTATTGAGGTTCCCGTACCTTCTTATTTTTCAAGACATCATTATAAACTGTCTCTCCCTAGCAATTTACTTGTGTGTAACATGAAAAAATAGAATTATGAAATCTTAAAAGCAATCTCATATTGACTGCGTCCATCTAACCCGTTGCATGTGTTGATCATTTATTGGAATACGCGGATTCTATATTTTGATAATTAAGGATGGATACGAAATTTAGTTAAACAGCAACATAGCCAGCGTCCACAGATGGCCGCCACTGACCGAGAAAGAATTTAGAAGTCCTCGTAAATATCAATGTGAAATTTTATGTAAATATACTATGGAATGATATAAATATAGTAAAATTACCAAATGTGTATTTTTGTTCTATTTCACTTATCTTTGTTATAATGAAATGTAAGAATAATTATTTTCAAAGCGACAGCTATATAATCTACTAAGGTCCGCTTTTAACGGCCATCAATGACCATTATTAGTTACAAACCATCGTCTGTAATCTCATAATATCTTAAGCTCACCAAGCTCATCAGAAGGTCTTTATTTTAAACAGCGTCGGAAGATGAGACAACAAAATATCAAACACCATTTAACATTGTTAGTTGCATAGTTCGACTGAAAGTTGGTGAAAGATGAAGACCAAAGAAGATAATCGAAACCGTCTAATTTGGTTTGTCATTTATATTTACAGTCAATTCGAATTAGAATTTGCGATGAGTGCGACTTGCGGTATGTTTAGCGGCGCCTAACTCTCATAGCAAATACAACATACTGTGGATCTGGTTGCTCTTCCTGGCTTAACTACAGTGTACTAGCTACGTCTAGTGCATTGTTTGTCTGAGGTACATTTTCGACGAAAATTAATGATTAGCTATTAGGTATAAAGTAGGCACTAAAGTGTTGTGGAAGTAGATGCTGCAACAACCCTTGTAAGATAACATTTATTTAATCTAGTATTTTCTGTCGTTTTCCTATTAAATCAGGGATGGAGCTGCACAACGCTTCTTGGTCGATAATAATAATAATGATTGTATAGCAACCAAATGGATGAAATTTCTGCACAGCACTATCTGCGTGTGCGTTTTCGTCCTGGCTGGTTTCAACAATTCGACCTGCTTTGGCCGGAGTTCATAGAGTACATAGAGGCGGTTAAGCTATTTTTGTATACCATGGATTGCTAACTCTATGCTTTGCCGAGGTTCTTCGCAGGTGATAAAGGTTTCACAGCAGATATGAAAAGGGACACAAATGTTCCAAATTATACGAGGGCTCTTAAAACCATCAGCAGGTGGCATATTACGGATGCTGGAGTTGCTTTTGCTAGGTTGCCAGTGCAAAGCGAACGCATTGTCTATCGTCCAAGCAAACTTTGGAGTTATACAGTCAATATTCTCTGATCGATAAGAATATGGCCTCGTTTAGCCGGTGACAGGGGCTCTTCAGTATCGTCGTCGCGTACATTTTGTACTACTAGAAGCGAGCACCGATGGTGAGATAAGTGTGTAAGCTCAGGCAACTGTTAGCTGCCTTAGATCGCAAAAACCTATTGCCAGGACTTAACTAAGATCCTTCAATGACAATCCTAGGGTGTAGCATCAATTTTTCTGCTGAAACTTACAGATAAAACGCATGGTACTTAGCTAAGGTCATTACTTCATCTTTTATATTTTACGAACTTGATGCCTTGTAATATAAAGGTGTTAAATTCGTAAAATATACTTCTCAATTTTAGTCGATGTTTTAATTTAGCGCCTTATAAATATTGTGCAACATTGTTAGTCTTTATTTTTATCGTAATTAGAGGCTGATTGAGGATCTTTCGTTAGAATAATTTACAACGCGTCAATCATGGCATTCGTTTTGCTTAATGGGACAACGGATCGTAGAATTATTCTGTAATCGAATCGATGAAATATTGAAAGTATCATGTTTGCATTGATACGAGCCTCGTGTTGTTCTTATAAGTACTAGTACGATACCTAACATACTTGTCTGTGAAGTTTTGCAGCTCTCGGAACTTTGGAGGTTTGGTCGATGTTGAAAATCCAGTTAATGCAGTTCAGAGCGACTGCAAGCATCAAGCAAGTTAGTTACTAAATCGTTACGATTGATGGGTGACTCCTTTAGTGACTTAATTTACTCGAAGGGAAGTGGCTAATTAAAACTGTTAGAAACGTCCATAAATGCTTAATAATTCTTTAGATTTAACTTAGCCCAGTACTTAATGCTGATGATGATATCTTCTTTTTTGCCTATTTCTTCCCTTATAATTGTATGAGATTTGATTTGGCATTATGAAACTGCTTGTAAATGTAATCCTTCTGCTCTTACTGAAGAATTTTTTCGTCACTTAGCGCGTTGTTGTTTAACTTTAAAATGGCACATTGCATAAACACCAATCCAAGCCGTTTGCTTCAATAATTTTTCTGAACTAGACGACGTGGCGACTAAAACTAAATATCAGTTAATCTAATTTTGGGGTTGCATACGTCACCACGCATTGACAACACTACTTAGGGTAAATTGTGGTATTTATAATAATGGCGTCTATCTGTTAACATAGATGTTCCATTTTTGTGTTCAATCAAAGCAAAAGTCGGCCTGGTGAAAACCCACCTACCGGGAACCTGGTCAATATTGCTGAATTAACACTGCTCAGAAATGATCTGACTTAACTATCGGCGCTTGTCCTGTCAGGTCAGCCAGAATTTCAAATAACGCATAGGGTTTATTAAGCGTTGAATTATCGTATAGTACGGACCCGGAGGGAAGACTTAACTCGCGAGTAGCGACTTTTTTGAAACAAAGCTTGTCGTCGTTTCATCGCCAGACTGTTGAATAGATTCAAGTTTGCTTCACTTTGTCGTATGATCGATGTGCGTTTTCTTGAACTTGGGGAACATTTTTGAAGAAGGCTATTAAGAAACCTGGACGGACCTGAACGGCTGATCCGACTGCTACTCAAATGAAAAAATTTTTCAGGGTATCTCCTAAAGACTTGATGGTCGAACAGCTTATGGTACTTTTAGGCTTTTTTTTTAATACATTTTCCGTCGAAGATTAATATGAAAGCGTAGGATTCCTGGCACAAACTAGCTAATTATGGGTTGTGGTTACTTTAATAACGTTTTAGCTCTTGTGCATTTTCAAGAAGTACCTCAATAAGGATTATGCAGGCCTCCTGTTAGTGATCTTTTTGCTCTAAAATGTTAGCGGGGTGTTTTATAACTGTAGAATCATGCTCCCGAATGAAAGAAGTCTCGGCTGCTTTTAATCCTTTTAATGTAAAAAAGACAGTTCTTTTAAGCAGGGCCCCACCAACATTTGCTGGAACAAAAGGTAATAATTTAGTGTCAGGCGCAAGATCTACAGTTTTATATTTTCGCTGACTACAAATTCAACAAATATCTCAAATTCTTTGCTTTGTTCTGCTCAGTGGTTAATGAACTTCTTTCCAAGTTCAGTAAATTGGCAGGCATCTCGCAATTGTAACACATGGCAGATATAACTGCTTCGCGTTTGTTGAGATCGCCCATTTCTCGCATCGTTTGTCTCTATCCTTAATTTGTAGCTAAAGTTGTATACTAGCATCGTATACTATCGCAGAACTAGTATGTCGACGTCGAAACAAAGTATTACAAACGTACATCAGTCAGTCTGAATATCGTTAACACTACTGACAAACTAATCATTAATCGTGGAAGACTTAATTCCTACGGCAGTTAAGTAGACCGAAAATATTAGTTGATATGTTTCCTGCTGCATTCGTAGTTTGGATCTTAGGAAAAATAAGCTCTTTGTAAGAAGAAATAGAGATTTAGGGTTGAAAAGAAAAAAGCTTAACTCTAATGTGATGGATTTAGCTATAACTACAGGTTAACGTCGTTATACATTTTTTTGCCAAATTTACATTTAACACTTGTGTATTGGAACAAGTTTAGTTTCATCGATCAACATCACGCAAACGTATTAGGCATTACGTAATAGCAACAGATCATATTATTGCCGTATTGTTAGGCCGTGCAAAGAGCCGCTTAAAAACGCAACTACGAAACAATATTCACATGTTTACATAGATACTGCCCGTGATGCATAATTAATCGAAGGATGTGTTAGTATTCACCACGTTTGCCTGTTTTTTTTTTATGTTTGTTGCAGCCAGCATGTCCGAGCTCCGTGCAACACTTTCCCAAAGTGTTGCACGAGGTACACCTAGACACGAAGACATGTTTTACACATGACTTCGGTTTCTCTAATCTTTGATGTGTGCCGAAAAATCCGCGTCTGCGTCCAAGTCCTCTGAATCCTTTTTTCTGCTGTAGTTTTTACTCTAGTACTTCCTAAAAGAAGTGATTTCCATATAGTTTCTTTTTTAAGGTCATCATTGTATACAAAATAATTTCGTTTCATTAATACTAGTCCTGATTAACCCGTTTTTACAAGTTACAATTATAGAAACGAAAAAAAAAACAGTCGAATGAATCATTATCCCAAAAAGTGCAAATCAGCGAAGGTGTCAGCTATAAAATACAAACGTGAGGTACATGCCAATTCACTGAGTTTGAGACGAAGTGTATTACCCGTTTATCCTCGTGAGGAGCTGTCATTAGCCATATAACTTCAACGAATAATCAATAAACAAAATATCTATGGAAGCCTTTTTAAAACACAGCGAACTACGTCACCGTGCACACTACATAAAAAAGGAAAAGTCCATTATTGCTCTCACGATTCAAATTAGAAACAACAAAGTTCTTCTTTTTCAGAACCTATCTTTTAAGTGTTCTATGAGGCACTTGTTCTTAACTACTATGACAAAAATCTCGAACTGTGATGCTACTTGTATGTATAGCAAATCTTTAGTATTCCGCAATTGAGTCGGTATTGCCTTGGGAACTATTTTTGTTTAGAAACGCAATCTTTTTTTTTATACACACGTAGATATACACGTAGATGCTCTGTCTAGATAACACATTGTATTCAAGCACTTGGCCCTCTCCTTTGTCATCATATTATGACGAGTAAGCGGCTTTACTTGACGAAATCGCTTGAGCTCTTTTACTTGAAGACAAGGCTCTAAAATCAATATATTTTTAGAAAAGAAATTCGGGAAATTTCATTTCCTCTTCTTTATGGATCTTTTTTCTGCTGCTGGATGAGCTGACGCATTGGGGAAGAAATACGTATATTTTTTATCATCATCATTAATAAGAGAGCCAGAATAGCTTAATTCTTATACGAATATCTAAAGAAATCGTAAAGTAACAAGAAAATGTTCATACCTTTCTGAGATGTTGTTGTCATATCCTTCAGAAAGGGCGGTGTCGCTTAGTGCACCCGTTGTTTGAACAGAACGAAGACTCCACGTGACTCTGAAACGGTCATCGCAATGAAGTGATTTCATAACTTGAAATCACGATGTCTTCTTTTTTTTGAATAGGCACGTGGTGTCTAATTATTTTAAATCAATTTTCTTGCTTAAAGACTCCATTAGGTAAAAAAAAAGCACATACAATTTGACCCAAGCAAACATTTTACATCCATTTAGCCAGATATTTACACGATGCGTTATTTCATACCACAATCGAGACAACTTAGGCATCATGTCTTATTCTCCCTCGCCTAATTAATCTGCCTGACTTTTCTTTAGTTCAATGCAGTGGAAAACTCCTGCGAATTATCTTGCGAAACTGATAAACAGGCATAACTATTCAGTAATAAATTAGTAAATCATTTGACGCATCTTTGGTCCACGGAACTATGCGGAGCATGGAGTTTTATTCGATTACTCTAACATTCTGGTTATCTTTCTGTTTGTAGTAACTGCAGCAGACACTGAAGTGTATGCATTCACGCAAGCATGGGTATATACAAGCCTTTGATATAGAACGCTTCTAAAGTAATATTTCATTTCCAATTTAAAATACGCTGCATAGGTATAAAAAACCAAAAGTGGTGTCTGAAATACCATTCTGACTGCACATAACATATTTATTGATAATTTTACTGATTTAATAAGCATTAAACGCAAACATATGGGAGTGCGAGTGCAAATAACCAAAACATTTTAAGATTTTATTTAAATTGTCTAATTCTGTTTATTTCTTTTATATTTCAACATTATATAATAAGAATTTAATATTTCGTTGTAGGACAAGTGAGGACAATTTTTAATGCTCCTTTTGCCTTTCTGTTTTCTATAAGTTCATGTTGCAATGGACACAATTTACTTCGAGTTGAGGCCTCAAAGATGAAGATTCCATGTTAGAAAAAAGTTTGTTTCCGACACCTAAGTTCGTCGTCCGAAGTTACGAAGCTATCGAAGTAGTTGACGATAGTTGTCCCGTCTAGGGTAACGATTCCATAATTGAGAAAACTGTTCGAAGGAATTTCCTATGTTCTAAGGCGATGTATCTCATCCCGATCGAGTATTCCATGCAAATCGAAGGAAGCGTATATACGGCTTCGCATTATCCTTAACCGTCCACCCGAGTCAGCCACAGTGACTCGTTTCTGCACAAAGTCGTCGTTGACTATTGAAAGGAGCAGTTAGTTCCGGGAGATACACCTAAGCTACGACTTGAACCAAATTGTTATAAAAAAAAAAGGACTATGATTTGCGGTATTGGTCAACAAGGATTTATGCATGGCTCAGTTGCACCGACTGAGCGACGCTGTCTAATAGAAAAAAAGTCAATAGATAAGGCAATGTTATCCTTCTCCAATATAACACCATACCACACCACATCACACATAGTTAACATTATGAAACGCGCTGTGCAACAACTTGAGAATGAAGTTCGTTTGCACTCATTATGTTCTCCAGACCACGCTCCTATGGGTTGCCATCTATTCCGCTCATTGGAAAATTAAATGAATGACCGTACAGTTAAAAATGGAGAGTAGACCAGTTGCTTAAGACTAGACCTGGAAAGGCAAAAGAATTGGTTGATAGATAAGAGAAGGTCGTACAAAGTGACGGCGAATATGTACTAGGCTAATCTGTTTCTAGAGCTTGAGCGAAAGAGCTGTGTTTTTGTTAGATGAAAAACGACCCGTGCTTATGATGTCATAACATTAGAATAAGACTTATTAGGTACCTTGTGTACAAGGTAGGTTTTTCTCGGTAAGCTCCTGCAAATGCTTAAGTTTTACCTATAAGTCAAAGGATACTGTAATTTTATAATAGTCTAAAACCATCCTCAAAAATGTAATCCAATGCAGCCTAAAAGACCACTTACATTCACACAAGCCATATTTCACTATGATTATGATGGGAAAATGCAGTACGCATTCGTGCACCGTACTGACACCCCTAAACAAATCATGAATTAAGTCCCTTAAAAAAACTGACCTCGAATAATAACTAAAACGCTTCACGTCGCGTATAAATGGATTGTATAACAATACAATGTATTGATTATTTGCAAAAAGACGATAAATTCCGTTTATGAACGAATCAAATATTATGGGCG